ATTATTATCATTCCGTATTATTGTAACATATTCTTAATGTAACATTTATTGTTTGTATAATGAAAACTCATGTTATAGTACCTGTGTAAGTGGCCATAGCAGCCGAGCACGTTAAAGTCGAAATAAAAAAAAAAAAAAAAATAATTAATATGTTATAGTGGAAAAATTTCTTAAATTTAATTAGTCTATATAGGCAAATTGTCTGATTTTCTTCGAAGGTGCCTCCTACCAAGTTTTAATATTATCATCTCATCTCTTTGTTTTACAGTTTTAAGTGCTTCTAATGTTAACTCATTATTAAGAAATAAATTTGATTGTCGCTTCCACACGTTTAAGAGCTTTTCTCCAATATATTTTTTTTTCATTTATTTGTTTTTTAAGTTCAGTGCGTCCGGTAATTTTAGATCTTGTAATAAAAATTAAAATGGAGTTAATGTGGTCACTACTAGAGTTACCAATCTCTTTTAACATTTTCTTCGCTATTATTTGTTCTAAAGAACGAGGAAATAGTTAATTTTCTTAAATTCTTAAATTAATTTTTACTCAATATTTCAATCACAAATAAAATCACAATTTGTGATATTTTATATTATACTCTGTGTATAAGTAACTTGAAACCATATGAAAAGAATTATTCTTTATAAAAAGCTATGCACGATCTAAAACCTGAGATGAACCCATTAAATATCAAATTGTATCGAGGTATGTTGAAAATTATGAATTTATCATTAATAGTAAAGTACCTGTAAATTTCACAATATCGAAAATTGTTATTATGAAAACTTGTTTGTAATTAAAAATTATGTTTAAATATGCAAATACATTGTTCTAACTGAAAATTTTTTTTTCTCAAATTACCGATACCTAACATAATTTTTATTTATTGCTAATATGAGTAGTACTCTTCCGTTCCCATAAAAAATGATAAGCAAATTTTCACAAAACAAAATGCATTAAAAATCTAATAAGCATTGAAGAGTTATTAACCTTTTTTCTATTGGAATGGAAGAATTATCATATTTCTAATAAATAAAAATTATGTTCTATATATAAGTAATTTGAAATTTTTTTTTTTTAATTAAACGAATTTAATTCCATATTAAAATATAGTTTTTAATTCCAAAAAAATGTCTTCAATAATTTTCGATATTGTGAAATAAAAGGTAATTTATTTTTGAGCGAAATTCATAATTTCGGAGGTACCTCCTATAAGATTAATAAAGATTTGATATCTGATGGATACATCTTAAGTTTTAGTAGACAATGCAGAGATTTGTGTGAAGAATAACTTTTTACAATTATTAATAAAAAAGTTTCCCATATGGTTTAAAGTTAAATATTCACTCTATATATTAATTTAATTAAATAGTGTTATAAATACTTAAATACTAAAAATATACTATACTAAGTAAATATACATTATAGTAAGTAATTTTTAGTAAAATTACTAAAAAAAAGATATACATTTTTAATTTAGGAATTCCAGAAAGTATTAACTATAAATCCGAAACAATCTATTTGCATTAAAGTCTAATAGGTACTTAGGTCTTCGTTACACAATTTTCAACGTTACATCGATACAATAGATAATAAAAATGGATATCGCTCACACGCTATTAATATATTTTATGATATTGTCTTGTACCTGTGTAATATAATCCAGAACAAGAATATTATATACTATAAAAACAAACTATTTAAAAAATTAATAGTCTCTTGATGTCTCAGCACTCATTGCTAAGATCTATATCCACTTCAAATTATGTCATAGAATGCATGTAATAAGTATCGAGTTTCCTTTCCTGTTTTGGCACAGTAATATCGATGTATAATTTTTTTGCGTAAACGCAATCAACGATTTTGCATAATTTAGATACGTTTCAGCAATAATTATGAATATCACGTTTTTCTGTTAAATAGAAATAAAAATAAATTATAAAAATTAAAATCCTCATTCTCGGGCCCAAAAATTACGGGCCCTTAGGCACGTGCCTAGGTTGCCTAGGCCTTAGTTCGCTCTTGAAGAAAGTAAAAATACATATTATATTGATTCATATCTACGCATCTCTGGGATGTTACATTATGTGTGAACAATGCTTCACGAGTGTGTCCATTTCACGATTGACGATTTCATTCACAATTGTTATACCGTAATTTTATCTTTTTATGTCCGTTCCACGTTTCTTTGCCTATAGTCGTCCAATAGCTCATGATTATGTGTATATTCTTTGCACTTTATTATTTATTCCCACTTTAATAATAATAGAGTTAATTTATAACAAAAAAATTGTGTTACAATATAAATTTACATATTTTATACAATATATAAATCAACCCAGTTTCTCACATAACTTGTGTGTCACAGGGACTACAACTTATATGTGAGGGTTGAATTTTTCGTAACATATTTTTATTGCACAAATTACAATTATAAAACATATTAATCACTCTACGTATTTGGTGCGTTAGTGCTTTGTATTTTTCAGATTCACTGTTATATATTATATTTATTTTATTCAATCAGCTAATTTAGAGTCGTACCATTTTTTGTTTGTTTTTTTTGCCACTTTTATGTTATAATGTTATATATGTTATAATGTTCTATGTTATAATGTTATATATGTTATAATACGTGTGTATTGTGTTACTGCTTACTGCTTCATATTATTCGTATTTACCTTTATATATTCTTTGTTATAAAGGAGTTAAACATTTTCATCACTAATCCATTCTTGTTCTGCTGTGTGTATTTTCTTCTTCACTTATTGTCTTTAAATATTCTTTCAGGGCTAATTTAGTCATAAAATATTTAGTTTACATTCTGTTCGATTTCATGTTGTGTTTTATAATCATCATCATCATCATCATCAATGGCGCTACAACTCTTAGTGAGTCTTTGCCGCGTTTACTATTGCCTTCCATGTTTGTCGGTCCTGTGCCAGTAATTCCCATTGTCGCACTCCCATTTTCTCTAGATCTTCTTTGACTACATCTTTCTACCTTTTTCTAGGCCTCCCTACAGACCTTCTTCCATCTGGCCTTTCCCAGAACACATTGTTTATAAGTTTTATAATATAATGATGAAATTTTTATATTAAATTCCTTGGCCTTATCATTAAACTGGTGTTCCATTTTTTTGTACATCATTTTCATTTAATGCTAAGCATTGCTTTATCGACATAGTATATGATTTTCATTTAATTATAGCCTCATTGTGTCAAAGGCCTTTTCTAAGTCTGAAAAACCTAAGTAGGGTAATTTATTGTATTAGAGATGTGAGTACCTATTGTAGAGATTTTATTATTTTATAAATGTGATTTACTTCTATTAATTTATTTATATTGTGTTCTTTGTCCTCTTATTGCCTTTTACATTTCATTCTGTAATTTATAAAAATCACGTTCTATTTCTTTCAAAAACCTTTATCCCACTGTTTTGTTTTTCTCTGTCTGACTTGTATATGTGTCCTGTTGCGAACCCCCTTATACTAAGTCTCCTGCGTTGGAGGAGATACATATTATTTAAGATTTTTAAGATTTTTTATACAAGATTTTTATATCAGATACATATAATTTTTTCTTGCATTTTATTTAATTTGTTTGAAAATCAAGGCATAAGTTTTCTTTAATTTATGTTTTTGTTTATTTTTCTTTGTCAAAGGGCCTATTTTGCGCATTTGTTATCCTAGTTTCAATTTTTTTCTTTTCACGTGATTCATTGCCGTTAAATTTTTTAGTCTAGCCTACTTTGATTTACTACCAACTTTAGCTTTTTTGTCGAATTATCATACAGTTTTTCAAAATTAATTTTAGTTTCTAGTTTTGATGGCTTAATTTTATGTTCCCTCGTCATACTAAAATAAATTGTTCTCAAAATTAACTTGTGATTGATGCGTAGGTACGTTGCTGAGCTTTTTTATTACTTGGTTCCTTTTCATATAATACTTGTTTATAGTGTTTATTTCTGTTTATAAGAATGTAGTTAGTCATTAATTTGTATCCTCTTGTATTAATAAAATTTGTGGTTGAAATTGTATTTCTGTATCCTTTTTGGACGTAGAGGAAGAAGTTGCTCATTTTGTATACTTCCATTAAATTTTTACATTACGCCTAGTATCAGACCATTGCCAATTATAGGTATGTCTACCACGATAATTATTACTGCAGACGTTTTTGGTATTGCATCTCCCACTTTTTGGAAATCTTCATAAAATTTAACAGTTTGCAGTTTTCAGGCCAGTATACACTTATTATTTGTAGTCTTTGTTGTTCTGTTTTTAGTTAGCCCATTAAAATTTGCTCTGAGACTTATTCTACATATTCGATGTTATTTGTTAGTTCTTTTTAGTTGACCTACGTGTTTCTTTTTTCTGTTATTCTTGAGAACTTGCCTAGCCACTGTTGCTCTTTTTGCCTTTTTTTTTGTTTTAAACGCATTCTAAACCATATTCTTTTAATTCCACTACCAAGTCCTGGCCCTTGTCGTTCAGAGCTGTTAAATGGCAAGTAGCCATGCTCAAGATTCTCTTTCTGTTTTTCTTTCTTCGAGCCAATTTCATCTCTAAAAATCAGTCCGGTTCCGAGGCTTACTGCCGTTTCTGAGCCATTTTAGTTTTACTCTTGGTATGGAGATAAACTTTTAAGAGCCTCTCCTCCTTTTTCCTGGATTGGGATAGGCAATAACATTATGCAAGAGGTACTTAATTCCCTCCTTCGTCAAAGTCCATGATTATTGGCATAGTGATCAGTAGTCTACTTATTGCTGACAGTACTAACTTATTTTATTTATCTTCATGGATATATAAATTTAAATTAGGTATACCTATAATTTGACAAAATTTTTCAATGTTTTAGTTTCTAGGTTAGTTCTAATCTAGGATGAAATATTTTGAGTATTAGTTAACACTTTTCGTGATCAATTAATATATTTCATTTATTTTGTTTTTGTATAATTTAAATTGTATTATTTTTTATAGTCATAGTTTTTTTTTAATTTTGCAGATAATGATGAGACTTCAAATAAAGTGGAAAAAAAATTGAATATCACACAAGATATTGGTTTAAAAAGTTGTACCATCCCGGAGATCAAAAGCAAAACTAAAAAACTTAAAAATTTTTGTTACTACTGCGAAACTGATGTTACTAATTTTGCACGACACATAACTGTGCATCATTCAACAGAATTCGATGTCATTCAAATAAATTCCAAGCCAATAAACAGTTTAGAGAGAAAGCGTTTACTGGCAAAATTAAGAAACAAAGGAAACTATCTCAAACATGAAGAAGATGGACCAAGAAAAGTTAGACGATCCACGGTTCCAGGCAGATCTTCGTTACCATGTGATAGTTGCTTGGGGTATTTCTCTTCGAAGTTATTGTATCGGCATAGAAAAAAATGTTCAGGAAAATCAGGCTCAGCGCAAAGTGCTGGTCAAAATATATTAGCGGGCCACATTAAAGTTGATGAAAGGTTGAAGCGTGAAATTTTTCCACGTATGCGCGCAGACAAAATATCTCTAGAAGCAAAGACAGATACGTTAATTTGCGCTTTTGGCTCTCGTTTTTTACGAGTGCACAGAGAATATCATTTTGCCTCAGTGACATCAAGGAAAATGAGGGAGTTAGCCAGGATACTTATTCAACTTAAAAAAATAAATCCTAACATAAAATCATTGTTTGATGCATTACAGCCTAAATATTTTGACAATATTGTACAGGCAACACAAAATGCCTCAGGATATAAATCTTCTAATGATAGCTTTGATGCTCCTTCTTATGCTATGAATATAGTAAATTCACTTAAACAATGCTGTGACATTGCCATTAACTTTGTTATTAAAAAGGCAGCAAACTACGAATCCATTACAGCAGCGGAAGCGGAAGCGCAGCTTAGAACAATGCTCCACTTGTTCACTACGAATTGGAGATATGAGATATCTAGTCAAGCAGCCAACAATTTAAATCTAAAGAGATGGAACAAGATTACAATTGTTCCTTTAGCAACTGATCTCAAAATTATGAAAGATTTTTTGATTGACTTATCTAAAAAAGCAGCTACTGAACTTCAAATTACTAACAACAAAGTATCCGCATACAATACCTTACTCGAAACATCATATTGCCAAGTTCTTTTACTTAATCGAAGGCGCCCAGGAGAACTTCAAAGAATGAAGTTGGATACATATTTGAGTTGTAGTAATGATAAAAGTACGTATGAAGAATTTTCACTCATTACCAGCCCATCTGAACAAATTTTACTCAAAACTTTCAAGAGAGTTGTGATAAGAGGAAAAAGACACAGGGGCGTACCTGTGTTGTTTAGTAAAGATGTACAACATAATATTAATTTATTGATTAGAGTCAGAGAAAATATCGTTCCTGAAACAAATATTTTTTTATTTGGAAAGCCAAATTCCATATCTGAGATAAGTGGATATAAAGTCTTAAGAAAATATGCTAGATTATCAGGAGCCCGAAATCCTGACGCTATTTCATCAACGAGACTACGGAAACACTTAGCTACATTGAGTCAATTATTTAATATGACGGAATCCGATATTGAACAACTTGCATTATTCATGGGCCATACAGTAGGTGTCCACAGAGGATCTTATAGGCTACCAGATGATGTTTACCAAACTGCTAAGTTAGCAAAACTTTTATTGGTTATGGAAACTGGAAGTGGTAAATCATTCAAAGGCAAAAGCCTTGACGATATTCAACTAAATATGGATGAAACTTTAATGACTGAAACCAACGAACAAGAAGACAAGGAAGATGACAATTTGCAAGAAGACGTAGTGATAGTAGAATCTGAGAAATCGAAACCAAAGGATGTTAAAAATTCCATTGTGAAGTCAACCATTAAAAAAAGGACACTAGTTCCATGGACCCAGGAACAAAAAGGTTTTGCTAAAAGATTTTTTGCCAAGAATATCAAAAATTGCAAAGCTCCAAACAGGAGAGAATGTGAAAATTTAATTGAAAAATATCCAGATGTTTTCAAAAATAAAAGTTGGTTAAAAATTAAAGTTTTTATTCAAAATCAATATTCAAGAAAGCCATGATTGATGAAAATAATTGTTTTGTTTTTCTTTCATGTAAGCTTAGTTTAAATTCTTCATTTTTTTATTTGTGTAATAGTTAATTTTTATTTCAGTGTATTTTTAATTTTATTTTATTAAAGATTTTAATAAAATTTTTATAAAATGATTAATAAAGATTGTTTCAATATACCTATAAACCTAGTTAAGGCAAGGAAACAAAGTATTAGGACTAAATTCCCAGAAAAATATGTTTTCTCGATTGGGTACTATCAAAATTTTAAAAATTCAAATTTGGTCCCTACTTATAAATATCGCAAACAATCAAAGAATATCAGTATTTCTGAAATAAATATTTATTTTTATTCATTCATCTAAAGTATAATCAATTTTCTAAATCTGTTTTCTTGTGACACTGCAATTTTTTGGGAGTAAGCATCATAGATTGGAGTTCGTTTTCAAAAAATATATAAAAAAAGTTTTTACAAATTGTTATATCAAAAGTGAAGGTAAAAAACGAAGAGGTATGCAAAGGATGGCATAAACACACCCATACAAAGATTTTACCTCGCGTTTTTGATACAACAGCTGGTAAAAACTTTTTATATATTGTTTCTGGTTTGAAGCCGGTAACGGTAAAAATAACATGTAAATAAATGTATCGAGGTAGTGTGTCACTGTGTTCCTTCTGAAATATCAAGACAAAAACAGACAGAAGCCAGAGGGAAATTTTATGAAGGTCTGCAAGAGGTGGTAGATGCAATACCAAAACATGTGCAGTTATTATCATGGTAGACATAAATATAAGAATTAGCAATGATCTGATACTGGACATAAAGCAAAATTTTAATAAAATCATACAAGATAAATATGGAAAACTCTTTTTGAACTTCTGTGTACAAAGTTAGTTCGGAAGTTAGTTGCAAAAAAATTTAAACTAAATAAAACCAGCAAAAAACGAGGCTCTTAAAGAACTAAAAATAAACATAAACTTAAACAACACAAAGCGTACACATTGGTTCTCAGAAGAGGGAAAATTATAATACTTATCTAAAGTATAGAAATATATCTGAAGAAATAAGAAAGCTTATCTGAAGTATAGATCTGAAAAAACGCAGGACTTATGAATATGAGAGAGTTCGTAACGAGAAATATGCTCTAGAAAGACCCAAGAAAGCGAGAAATGAGACATGCCTGTTACGTACAACAAAAAGAGATGTGAAACTTTATAAGAGGGAAAAAGAATAGAAATTAATAAAATATATTCACATCAATAAAAGAGAAGGAAGAACATATATTATACAAATAAACGGAAAAACGAAAACTCAACATTCTCTTGAAACCCCAGAAATAACATCAAATGAATAATTAACGCAAATACTAAAAGCATGAGATAAAAGAAGTCATCATAAAGTTTAAAAACAGAATTACTTCAAGAAATAATCGAATCGCAAACAAACTAATAAAATATGGCAGAGTATAACTTATAATAACAGTTAACCGTAACATTTGATAAAGGGTTAAGTTCATCAAGAATACCTGAGAAGTGGAGAACATGGACCCAAAAGACACAAGATCGAAACAGATGGAAAATTATAAGGGAGATCTATGTTAAACAGTGGACAAGCGAATATGAACAGATGTAAAATTCGACCCAAATAGTTACAAAGAAACAAATTTGTTAAGTACTATTTTTAAATTATTAATAAAAGTAATAACAAATAAACTGACGAAAATGATTAGCATATCAGACGAACAAGTTTTCTGTAGAAGAACATCATGTAACGTTGCTGTCTTTGAAGTTAGGCAAATATCAGAGTATAGAATACAATATACCTATGTTTTGTCGATTTGGGAAAGTCCCTTGACAGAGTGAGACTATCGGATGCGATACACCTACAATACCTAATACTTCACAAAAATAATAGAGAACATATATATGTAAAAAACAGAATCAAAGTAAAAGTTCAAATAAAAACAACAGAATATATAAACAATACCTCCAACTGAAATCAAACAGGAGACAGACAGTAATATTTAATGTCTTATATTTAATATAATATTAGACGAGTTTTTAAGGAAGTAAAAAATTAAAAAAAAAAAGATACCAAACGAGAAACACAAAGTAATAAAAATAATACGCGATGTTGATGAAACGTTTTTGATAACAGAGTCAAACTATTTAATACGAAAATTTTATCACAGATTACGAAAAGTTTAGTATTTTCGAAGGAACCAAAAAGGTCTAAGCTTAAGATTGAAAACCAACTGATAAAACAAGTATTAAAATTTAAATATCTGAAAATAAACGTATTGACGAGCAACAATAATATTAAGGTGAAAGTAATTGGATACGTGACACAGGCAAGCGAAACAGCACGGCGACTTTAATGACACAATATGGCGAAACAAACAGTTAAAACTAGATACAAAAACGTGAATAAACATATCTGTAATCCCACTTGAATAACTGGAAAAATACTGTTCAAAAAAGAAACCTATGCAGACTAAATAATATAAATGTATTGGTAAATTAGCAGAATGCTAAAGAACATATAAGTTAGAATAGCCTTGGATAAGTCTACAATTGAAAGAAGCACAGGTCCTCCAAGAAAAGATGGAATGATAATATCCCACCTGAATAGGATGCACCGTCGAAGAAAAACGGGTAATTTGCCTATATCAAAAAAGAAGAAGAAGACACAGAAGAATTGAAAGAAGCACAGGTCTTCTAAGAAAAATATGGAATGATAATATTCCACCTGCATAGGATGCACCGTCGAAGAAAAACGGGTAATTTGCCTATATCAAAAAAGAAGAAGAAGACACAGAAGAACTGAAAGAAGCACAGGTCCTCTAAGAAAAATATGGAATGGTAATATTCCAGCTGAATAGGATGCACCGTCGAAGAAAAACGGGTAATTTGCCTATATCAAAAAAGAAGAAGAAGACACAGAAGAATTAAAAGAAGCACAGGTCCTCCAAGAAAAATATGGAATGGTAATATTCCACCTGAATAGGATGCACCGTCGAAGAAAAACGGGTAATTTGCCTATATCAAAAAAGAAGAAGAAGACACAGAAGAACTGAAAGAAGCACAGGTCCTCTAAGAAAAATATGGAATGGTAATATTCCACCTGAATAGGATGCACCGTCGAAGAAAAACGGGTAATTTGCCTATATCAAAAAAGAAGAAGAAGACACAGAAGAATTAAAAGAAGCACAGGTCCTCCAAGAAAAATATGGAATGGTAATATTCCACCTGAATAGGATGCACCGTCGAAGAAAAACGGGTAATTTGCCTATATCAAAAAAGAAGAAGAAGACACAGAAGAACTGAAAGAAGCACAGGTCCTCCAAGAAAAATATGGAATGGTAATATTCCACCTGAATAGGATGCACCGTCGAAGAAAAACGGGTAATTTGCCTATATCAAAAAAGAAGAAGAAGACACAGAAGAACTGAAAGAAGTACAGGTCCTCCAAGAAAAATATGGAATGGTAATATTCTATCTGAATAGGATGCACCGTCGAAGAAAAACGGGTAATTTGCCTATATCAAAAAAGAAGAAGAAGACACAGAAGAATTGAAAGAAGCACAGGTCCTCCAAGAAAAAGATGGAATGATAGTATTCCACCTGAATGGGATGCACCGTCGAAGAAAAACGGGCACTTTGTCTATATCAAAAAAGAAGAAGAAGACATTAATATTAATTTTTATTTATATAACAATTAATTATATTCTGAATTACAAAAATATATGACTTATTGTGTATATAAATAGAAATAATGTGTTTTCACATGAAACAAAATACCTGAAAGAGTATCTTCGTTTATTACTATTAAATAAATGTACCCAATGTATATCAATACATTTTTCAACACATAAAAATTAACAATAACATTACCAGATGATCGTAAAAAACCTTAGTCCGCAATTTGTGCCAGATGGGAAGATATAATTTGTTAGAATATTCGAGCAACAGTGTTGCCAGCGGAGTTGAGTCTATAATATGATGTTATGGTTTAACACATAAGTGATATACACATTCAGTATACTCATAAAAGCGCCCTCCACGGCAAATGGCTGAATTAAAAGCGACTTTACGGACTCATTTTGTTTTAAGATTTGCAGCTATTCTATAATACCCACAATTTTTGTAATAGATTTGTGCCGTAGGTAGAGGTCTCTAGTTTCTCATTCAGCAAAATTTTGGTAGAAAATAACAATCAGTTAACAGAAATACGTGAAAAACATTACGGACTCCGTATAATGAGTCCATAAATCGCTCGAGTCCGTTGTGTATGGTCAAAACCTTAATGCAGAGTCTGCAATGTTAGCAGGATATATATATATATATATATATATATATATATATATATATATATATATATATATATTATATATGTATGTATATGTATGTATATATCGGAAAAAGGAGTACGACCGTCAATCCAATATATTATAAGGATCACTCAGAAGAGTGGTGGGTTCTTATATCGGTCTCAAGGTGGAGAAATGAAAGACAAAGTTGATAGGCTACTTTATCTATTTTGAAGACGTTTCGCTTTCGTATTCTGAAAGCATCATCAGTTTATCTAAAAAGTACAATATAAGAACCACACAATCATGGAAAAGATGTTATAAGTGTTACCTTAAAAAGACATGTAGCAGTCAAAGATATTAACAAGTTTGTGAATAAAACTCAAGTAAATGGACATTATACGGTAGTATTGTATAAACAATCAATTAACTAACAACATTTAGCAACTTTAGCAATTAAAAAATTAGCGCAGCAACTGACCATATGGTCTAAAGTATAAGTAATATTTTATTTTATCTTAAATAGTGAAAAAGAACCAAGAAAATCATAGATTTACTTCCAACTATTTGATAATTATTTAGCTTTGATTTTAACTTTAAGTAGCATTATTAAAGTGATGTTAATAAAAAATTATCTTAAAAAGTAGTGTAAATGAAGTTACCGATCAAAGCCTTACAGCTGCTGCCGGGAAAATGGCGTT